TAGTCTCTGATTTGAGGGCTCAGAGAATTACCCTTAAAAAAAGAAGCCTAAACATTTATCCACGGGATACAGGTGTGCTGTTTCGAAGAGACACGTGCACCCCCATGTTTATAGCAGCACTATCAACAATAGCCAAAGTATGGAAAGAGCCCAAATGTCCATCGATGGATGAATGGATAAAGAAGATGTGGTATATATACAATGGAGTATTACTCAGCAATCAAAAAGAATGAAATCTTCCCATTTGCAACTACGTGGATGGAACTGGAGGGTATTATGCTAAGTGAAATTAGTCAGAGAAAGACAAAAATCATATGACTTCACTCATATGAAGACTTTAAGAGACAAAACAGATGAACATAAGGGAAAGGAAACAAGTTATATAAAAACAGGGAGGGGGACAAAACATAAGAGACTCATAAATATGGAGAACAAACTGAGAGTTGCTGGAGGGGTTGTGGGAGGGGGGATGGGCTAAATGGGCAAGGGGCATTATGGAATCTACTCTTGAAATCATGGTTTCACTATATGCTAACTAATTTGGAAGTAAATTTTAAAAAATAAAAAATTTAAAAAAAAGAAGCCTAAGAATTTGGACCAAATACTCAGAATATTATTAAAATATTTTTGAAAATTTTGAAAATAAAAATCCTCTTCCCAAGAGGCCTTTTTCAATTAAATACAATTAATCAGATCTGTCATGCCATGTAGAATCATAAGAATTAAGAATTCCTTTAGTATAAGTTTGAGTCTATGTCTGTTCTTTAGGGAAAGGCTGTGCCTCTGTAGTTCCTCAATCAAAAGAAAACTGTGGCTAAATCTGTGCTATAAACTAAATTTGTTATTCTAATGGTGAAGCCCATTTCATTCACTGAGATTAATTAAAATCTATCATTTTACAGAAAATTTTGGTGAATAAATTGATTATAAAAATATCAAATAAATCCCTAATAAAGTTTTCTTACTTGTTTAAAATTCTATCTTGCCTAGTGGGAGAAAGTTAATCCTTCAGACATTCATTCTGAAACAAGGATTTTGAAGTGTTCACTTTTCCTCTTGCCCAGATAGAGTTAGGTTCTTTGTGCTCATAAATCAAATCTGTTGACTTGAAGGAAGTCAGTAGAAATATGGAGCATAGTATTAAGAATTAGGAGAGGGAGACATGCAAAATGGTATGTTGAATTAAACTCTTTTATCCATTTTAGCATTCTTTATCAGTTTATTTCATAATTCACATAAATGTATAGTGAACTAGATGACAGAAATGTTAAGGGATAAACTTACAGAAATTATAAGTCTAAGACAACCAGTATAAAAGATTAGTACTGTGGCCTAATTTTTCCATAATTTGTCATACTCACGTCTTGATTCTAGGTGTGACCTTAGTTATACAATATATTTTACCTAATCTATATATGAATGTGGTTAAGTGTGCCCTTCAATTCAAAGACCGTTGGTAGAGGAAAGTCAAAATGAAGGAGGCATTTCTCCAAGCCACATTTTTTGATGGTTAGGCTTTCAGCCAAAAATGTCCACTTCCACTTGTTTATCAATTGTGATATTAACTAATAGGTGCATGCAATTTAGCCAGAAGACTGGATCAACTTCTCAACCTGGCAACCACATATGACAGTGCACTAGAAGCCGTAGAATATTGGAGCATATCCCTGCGATGTAACCTTACTTAAAGATTTAAGGAAGGTAACTTTATTTTAAAACAAACACAGATCAAGGAGATTGCAAAATAAATAAATCACACAAGATTTTAGTGTTACGGGCTCTTTGCGACTCCCCTCCTTCACATACTATCTTCTCCCTGTCCTAATCCCTCTCTGTCATTAGAGTAAGTCACTAGAAAAGTTTTAGAACATCTTAAAAGATACTGCATGAATATTGGTGGGATGAATATATTCACTTTAATTTAATAATATTTTTAATGGAAATCATAATCAGAAATTAATAAAGATAGCCTACAACCCTGATTGTAGAAATTCCCTTTTGAAAATCCCGATACCTTATATGAAATATATCAAACCCAAAAGGAAGTTTGGTCAAAATACAGTATTTCAAAAGAGGATTTTTTAGACATTGAGAAAGAGAACTCCCATGAGGGTCAGAGAAGATGTGTCAGTTTGCATTCTAGAATTTAGAATATTAGGATTCTGGAGTTTCTGATATTCCAGTAACCCCTGAGGAAATAAACTAAGATAGGCCTTGGTTTATGTCGCCTGAGTTACTGTGCTGTGGGTAATGGCAGCCGTTCTCTGCTGAGTGCATTATGCCAGGCACCATACACAGTGCTTTACATTCAGACTCCTAGTGCCTTGTAAGGAATGCGTTGTCCCTTTTTACAAACAAGAAAACAGAGACTCAAAGAGAGTAAGTGACTTGCCTGGGATCTCACCCTCAGCCTTCAAGCCCAGGTCTTTCTGACTCTAAGGTAGTCTTTTTATGGTCTGTTGTTTCCAATATAGAAAACCAGTTTGCTATGGTGGGAGAATTTTTATTTTCTTCGTCCTTTTCATCTAAGGATCTATAAAGTGAACAAAATATCTAAATCTCAGTCTTTTGACCTAATCACATAATACAGCCCAGAATGTTGAAAGATCTCTCAAATTAAGGTTTATAAATAATTTAGATTTAACTTTGATAAAAAGAAGTAGAAAAAATAATGTTGGGAGTTCTAATGTCATTCCAGTTTTCAAAAGGGGGAAAATATGATGATTCTTGAGTAGTCGTAATGGTGATGTGACATTCCTGAACAAGGCTTTTAAAGACAAGGACACAGCAGTCACTGGAAAGCTGCATGGGTTCACTAACAAGCCAGATTTGCTTCTTGGACAGGCTCACTAGACTGTTAGATCCATGAAATTCAAAAGGCAAAGCAACTGACTTTGAGCATGGTGTTTTGCAAGGTCATTTCTCAATATTTTATAGAGCAAGATCAACAGAATTTAGGTTCTAGAATACATTGCTGGATCAATATCTGGTTGAACAGCTGTACCCAATAAGTGATTGATGTCTAGCTGAAGATATATTCTGATGATATTTGACATGGCTCCGTCTTCTACCTTGCAGTAATTTTTATCAGATGTCTATATCAAAGTCCTCATAACCAAAATTTTCATAGGAGGAAGAGAATGCATATCTAATAAACCCATAGCCAGAATAAGAATATAAAAATCACTTTCACAGATTTTAGTAGGTAGAAATGCAGAGGACTGCTCTCAGACTTAAAAACTGAAAAACACAAGTAAAATACAAGAGTTTAAATTCCTTTGATTTTACTATAAGACACTGTTACCTTTAGACATAAGAAATATAGCGTGTGAACCAAAGTAAATTAGTGAACTCCCTTCCTTTTTCCTTATCAGTGATTTTGTGGAATAAAGAAGCTTTTACCAATATGCCTACAATGCTCATTCTGAATGATGCACCTCAATGATAAATTGCACCTCTATAGAGTCAAATCATATCAGGTGCATGTTGCAGATTATGAAATACTGTTAAACGAGCCCACTAAAGAGTCTTATGATGCTTTTGCCTACCTCTGGCCCACTAATTCTCATAAGTTGTTTTCATCCTTTACAGGAAATTTTTTGAAAAATTTTTAACCATAAGTAGTTGGCTAGCTTTCATTGTTAGATCCTTATAACTTTTTAGCAAGAGCATGGGGCAATTAAATGAAAATCTATGTGTATTTGTCTTTTCTGGAATTGTTTCCTCCCACTAAAGTGTAGATTCCATGAGTCTGAGGACCTTGTCAATCTTCATTACCTTGACCCTAGGGCTTATGACAGTGCCTGGCACATAGTAGTTGCTTGATAAATATTTGTTAAAAGAAATAATGTCTTGGATGATTTTAACTAAGCTCATCTGCAAGACATTGACTCCATATAATATAGTTTGCTGTTAGCCCCTATGATTATCAGTGAATGGTTGGACCTTATGTAAAAGGGAACAACTACTGAGTAGGCCAATGAACATGAAGGGAAGCAACCAAAGATTAAAGAGGATCTTACCCCTATTGTAGGTTAGCTGTGTGAAATTTTCTAGTAACAGCATGTAGGACAGGTCTATTTAGTAGTCAAGTCTTGTAAAATAATACAAGTATTGGTGATAATTACTAATTATATGCCACAACGGTATGACCATTAATAAAGGGACTTGGTGCATTATCATGGAGGTGATAATAGGAGTCAGGACAGCGCAGAGCCATGGGCCAGGAATCGGAGTACTCCAGTCAAATTCTGATTCAACCACTTATTTGTTGTCCGACCTTAAAAATGTCACAATAACCACTCTACATCTCAGTGTCTCCATTTGTAAAATAGACATAAGACTAGTAATTATTTCACAGGGCTGGTGTGAGTATTAAAGGATGTAGTTCAGGTAAAGAGACTAGCACAGGATCTGGCACACTGTGGGTAATAAAAGCAGGCTCCTTTATGCAGATAAAATTTCTTCCCAGGAAGATGTCCATCCTAGGCCCCAGGCAGGAATTTGGGAAAAAGCACTGGGAACCCAGGTCCCCCCAACTTCAAATTCTATTTGCATTCTAGCTCTGCTACTTTAACATGGTGGGAGAAGAACGCTAACCACCAGCCAAAGTACAGAGTCTGAATGGCCTTTCAGGAAGAAAAAGCAAGCAGATGAATAAGATAAAGGGGAACACAACAGAACAGAAAAATAAAATGTCCTGGCCCTGCGGCATCTGCACAAATAGAGAATAACAGCTACGTACCGTATCTGTTGTTGAGCAGAGGACGCATAACTTAATTTTAGAAATATTTTATAATTGTTAAGAGTCAAAATTATTTTTGTTTACATATATTTTGACATTGTTAAAAGAGAGGAACATTTTCTCTTGTATATAAATTGCTCTGGGCAAACATAAGATGGAGTAAAATTTAAATATTTGGCACATTTTATCATGATGGCATTTTTCTCAATGGTGTGCTATCATTTATGTATGAACCTTCTTTACTCTATTTCCACAGAATGCTGAAGTTTCTGTTTTTGAAGTAAATATACGCTTCGTTGGTGGACTACTCTCAGCCTACTATCTGTCTGGAGAAGAGGTAAGATGAAACAATAAAATTACATTTTTTGGAGTAAAATGTGCTTTCTATGGTACCTATTTTCATATTTTGATGGGCCTCAAGCATACAATGAATTGTCATATAATATATACTAATTAGACCAGCACACTGGGAGATTTGGTCACAAGTTGTAAGGAAATGTTAAGCAATGCCTTTAAAAAAGCCTGCCTCCATTCCGTTAGGTGTGGTGTGGTTACAACCATAAATCACATACGCCTGTTGACCAATTAAACAGGCTTAGTGCAATGGCAGGCCTGTGAATGATTGTTTTTTCCTTAAAAATTATTTTAATGTTAGCATAATGTTAGCTTAATAAAAACCTTTTTTAAGGTAGAGACATTTTGACAGGTAAGATATAAAAATTACAGTGTTTAAGAAATTGAGAGGGTGAGTGAGATACTCAGCCTTGCAGTGAGAAGCCCTGTAGGCCAGTGTGTCCCTGTGTAAAGTGCTTTGGAGCTCTTCCTAGAGCAAAGCTCAATTAATTATCTGTTCCGAGGAAAGCAGGAATTTTTCATTTAGCTGCCTTTTATTGACAGATTAAGAAAGGATTTTTGTATCATGCTTGTATAGAGTATGAATGCTATTTTCTTGAAAGGTTTTGGACAACTTTATGAATATCTTAAGTTTCCACTAAGTTGTTGGAGCAGACTTCGTCTTTAATGTTGACAGTATTAAAAGCTGACGTCAAGGCAAAACAGTCAGATATTTCAATTTCATGTCAGTCAGATTTGTGTGAGCCTCAGCATTCTGGCTAGAGTGGATCTTACCTAGTGTAGTATTTCATGTATTTCTATGCTCCTTCAAACAGATTTAAGCAGAGCAATAAACTTTTAATGAGAAAAGCTGCTTGACTTTGTTCCTGTCTCTCAGGTACTTTCCTAGCCATAACAAAGCAGCCTGCGCAATCTTAACGTTCTCTCCGTCTTTAGATTTTATTCTACCGTAGATATTTTTAAAGTATATAAATGGCTTCTATATTCCCCTATATCTGTCCTGTTGAAGTGTTAAATTCTTTTCTTCGTTATAGATTCTGTCGCCTTCTCAGCCAGGGTAAAGAGACTTTCTGGCACATCATGCCTCTTCTTCCTTTTTTCCAGTCCCACATAACTTCATGTGTTCAGTTTAGTTTAAGATGTTCTAAGCATTAAGCCAGAGAATCCATATTTTTAAAAAGACATACTGAAAATTAATGTTATTTTAGTTAGCAAGTATCTGCTTTTAGAATATTTGTCTTTGAGTGTCCAGTGCCTGGTATTCTCATTGTTTTTGACATGACATACTTACACTGAACTTGGTTTTAACTTTGTTCATCATTTATGTGGAGGTGAGACAATTTGGAGGAAGTAAGAATGGCATGCTAGCATATATCTGGGCTCAAATAGGATAATTGAGCATATAAAGAGAAACAAGTAACATTTCTTTTAAATTTGCATCATATTTAATTGGGATTTTTTTTTCACCTGTAACAGTGACTTAAGTTTATGTACATATATATTTCATATGCGTGTGTGCTTATTATAGACGTATATTTATGTACTTTATATAACTATAATACCCACAGATATTTTTCCTATAGATAAAATCATTTGCCTCAGATCTTGTAAAGGTATTTTTTTATTCCATACTTAGATAACTTTAGTAAACTAAAGACTACAAAGAACACCTCCATTGAAAATAATTCTTTTAGTGTATTTGTTTTATGCTTATCCCCATGCAAAACATTGTTTTCATTACATCTAGATTGTCTACATTTTAATTTTATAAAAATTACTTAAGGTATTTTCTTTCCTACATACATTTCTGTTTCTATAGAATATACTTTTAGTACATAAGGATTCATCTTCTCTGCATAGTTTTTGCATAACCAGTCTCTAAATGTTGGATACTTGGGTTTTTTCTAGTATTCCTGTATTTTGGATAATGTAGCTAATAAATATTTATTCTCTAAAGTGGGATTTCTTGGTGAGAAGTGATAAATACTAGACTTTTGTAACACCATCTCCTCTTTTTTCCTCTCAGTTACCTCATCACTGACAATTTCATTTGACCAATGCACTCAGGGGAGTTGTCCATCAGGAATGTGGTCAAGAAAAATTATTTTACCCCAAACACTCAGGGAATAGGCTGTCAGGAATGTGGTCAAGAAAAATTACTTTACTTCAAATCTGTGCTTAAGCTATTTGTCTCCATATCAAAACAAAAAAAAAATAATAATTGAGCATTCATTAATAGAAAGAACATCAATATGGCCAAATTATGAATTAGTTAGTTTCAGATTGTTGATAATGTTCTATACTGTATTTTTTATGTAAACTAAGGTATTTACTTATCTTGTCTAGGAAAATTCATCTTCCTAAATCATCTCATAGAGGGGTTCTAAGTCACAATAATTTAACATTCCCATTTCATTGCTGAGGCTCAGCAGTATTTTGAGAACATCTTATAAATCACCATCAGAAGTATATAGCTCCACATTGATATAAACACAAGATTCTTAAATTTATATTGCAAAAACAGAAGAGGAAGTACCAATTGTTTGTGTTACATGCTTCAGGAAAATTACAATTAGAAACACTAAATAGTAATCAAGAATACCAATGGAATTCTAAACCCTACCAAAATTACAACAGGAATATGACATACCTGTTGATAAATAGTTTGATTATAGGGACATATTCAAAACTTTTAAAACACCCCAGCTCATTTAAAATATTTTGTAGTGCCATTAAAAACAGTCAAGCCATGGGGCGCCTGGGTGGCTCAGTCGGTTAAGTGGCTGACTTCAGCTCAGCTCGTGATCTCATGGTTCGTGGGTTCCAGGCCATGTTGGGCTCTGTGCTGACAGCTCAGAGCCTGGAGCCTGCTTCAGATTCTGTGTCTCCCTCTCTCTCTGCCCCTCACCCACTTGCTCTCTGTCTCTGTCTCTCTCTTTCTCAAAAATAAATAAATATTGAAAAACTTAAAAAAAAAAAAAACAGTCAAGCCACAAGATTTTCAGTCTATATATGAAATGCAAATAATCACAAGAATTACAAACAGGCTAGAGGTAAGATGAATAGTAAATAGGAATGAGTAGCATTAAATATAAATAACATAGATAGTATTGCTCCATTATGAGCTCAAGGGAAACTAAAATCCTCATTGGAGATAGTAAATAGCAGTATCTAGAATATCATTCCCCAAAATGTGTTCTACAGAGCACTAGTTTCTTTTTTAGACATGTCAGGATAAGTCTGTATCTGTATACATACTAAAAATAAGTTCAGAAAAAGCTACATCTTATATTCTGTCTTAGAAATTCACAATGTACAGAAAAAGAAACTAATTGAATTTTATTTATCCCTGTGTTTTCCATACTTAACTATAACCTCTCTCCTTTTTTCCTAGTGTAACATTTGCTGAGTTACAAATAATGTTTCCCAGAACAAATTTTAGGAAACCTCACTGTAGAGTAAGAGTAACCTAAGCAAAAATGATATTGAAAGTTGTAAAATGCAAAAAAAAAAAAAAAAAAAAAAAAAAAAAAGATATTACAAGAGAAGATGATACATGTGGGAAGTAGCATGCATAAATATATCACATATTATTTGTTTTACAGGAGCAACCAATGGCTTTCTTGAGCAGAAAGAGAATTTAACAGGATATAGTAATGCCACAGACTCATAGTGAGGGCTGAAAACAAGTTGGAAGTAAGTCTCAAGTTGCCACAGAGAATCTCTGTGGCTGGATAATCACTCTGGGACATCTTAGAATTAATAAACATGCCCTATTTTTTCCACCTTTGTTAAGACACAAAGGCCCAGGAGAATGACATCAGTTGGCATGTGGCCCCTTAGGGATCTCGGGGAATGAAAGAGAGGATATGACAGAAAAAAATCTTCCATAGGGTTTGAATTCAGTATCCCTAGAAGACTGAGTAAAGATAATTCCTGAAGAGGAAACTGAGGCCCTATTCAAAGAGTGGAAAGAGTAGATATTTTGAAGCCACCCCCCCGCAAAAAAAAAAAAAAAAAAAAAAAAAAGACACAACGTCACTATGATGAGTAAAGGTGTCACAGGAAATAGACAAACCACATAGAAACTGATAGATTTAATGATATGCTTGAAAAAACTTTTCCTGATTTGCAAAACTACTTTATTCTGTAAATTAAGAGAGAACATTTAGAACTACCAAGATCAGAGGAAACATTTGACTAGTATGTTTTATGTATGTGAACTAGAAAAACAAAAAAAACAACTCCTGGGTGCTAAAACCATTGAAGAACTAGCTGTCAATGAATGAAGGTCACAAAGACATCTGATCTAACACAGGGGAAACACACATAATGGATCCTTATATTAAATCAGTTTACTCCGCCAAGATACCCTTCATTTCAAAGGTGGCAAAAGTATTGTTACCCAAATTCACCAAAAGAAATCAACTGCTCCATACACCACTACAGAAGATTGCTGAAGGACTTCCTGAAAAGAGAAGTAGCTAATGCCACTAAGTTTAGGAATGTCAAGGGGAAAAACATATAGGAAACTGATAGGATTATGGAGTGGAGAAGAGAGAAATAAGATTGAGAATATGAGTTTAGTGGTAGAAAGATTCACTCTTTTCTCATAATAGGATTCAGACATTTGGGGTACTACGGTTCTAGCCATTAATTTTGTAGAGTTTGATTAGTGACTAATAATTATAAAAATGTTTAGAAATCCCTTGGAAACTCAGGATGCATTGATGGGGTTCCCTTTCAAACTCAATATCTGCCACCATCTACGAGAATAAAGTCGTCTTCCAGACCATCCACCTGTCTCCTGCCTTATTCTGCAAAGAAATTAAAATGACTTACAGTAAATGTGCATAATACACACAGAGCTGTTGAAAACAGAGAATGAAGTCAGAATATTTTTTTAATTAATGTTTTTATTTCCATTCCAGTTAGTTAACATACAATGTCATATTAGTTTCAGGTGTACAATGTAGTAATTCA